CTGAATTTTTTTTTTTGATGGATAATTTCATTAAAACTTTTATTTGATAGATATTTTTTGGAGAATTTTTTTTTAATAAGATTTATTTTTTTGACATATACTTAATTTGTTGGAACAATTTTTTTTAACAGGAGAGATTTTTTTTTTTTTNAAAAAGAAAACCAAAAACATTAATAACGTTTCTTAAAAAAAGACTTTTTTTAAAAAAATAACGATAATTTATTTATTATAAATTTATAATCAAAATCAGATGATCTAAATGATTAGATTAGCATTTTAGTACTGATCATTTTGATTTGATTTCTGATAATCTTTTTTTTTATATTTTTTAATTAGAAAAAATATATATAGAATGATAGTGATAATGAATCAGAAAGTAATAGTGAATCAGAAGATTATATAATAATGATAATATTACTGATGATAATTATAGTGAATAATTAATAATAATAATTGATATTATAATATTATATGTAAACAATTTTAAAGGACCCCGGATATCTCCAAAACAGGTCATAAGTCACACTTTCGGCAGATTGGCCCATTTTTCAGGGGCTCAAAAAATCGTTTTTTGTAAATATCTCGGCATCCAGTGGTCCAATTTTGATGAACTGTTTTTTAAATTGTAGAGCTAAATGAGGGCTACAAAATAAAAAAAGTTCATTAAAATTGAATTACTGGATGCTGAGATATTTACAAAAAATGATTTTTTGAGTTTCAGCAAAAAGGGGTGTTTTTGGCCAAAAGTCCATTATGACCTTTATATTAGATATCCGGGGTCCTAATTTTAAAGTATTAAATAAAGTTAATAAACAGATTTATTGAATTTAAATAAATAATTAAATAAATTATTAATTATAATATTAAAATATTAAATTATCAATTAAATTAATAAAATTATATTTATAATTTCGGTTAAATTTCAGATTTTTGGCAATAATTTTGGCATTGTAAGTTTCAGTAAATTTATTTTTAATTGCCTAAACTTTCGGCAATAGAAAAGTTTTGGTCTTGGCCCAAACTACCTAATTTCGGCAGGCAACCTTATCAGACATCCAACCTTTCCCATATAATGCGTAAAGGCAGTGCACATATAAAAGCTATATTTACTCATAAAAAGCAAATCTCGCAGAGCACTTCTTACGTGAAATGCCCATTGTTGCAGAGTTTCATAAAATCTAATGATTAATAAAATATCATAAATTATTTCTGTTCTAGTCCCTTCAATCATCAGGTCACAGCTGAAATTACATTTATATTAATACGCTCTAATCAGTCTAATGTAATTCATATCATATTTAGGATGAAAATTAATAGGCTTAGGAAGATGATCCCACATAAAATGATATCATAAGTCATGTTTTATGATGATTTACAAAGTTTATACTATAGATTAAACGGATTCATTTTTTTGTGGGTTTGCTTCTTCACATGGATCTATTCATCTGCAGTATAAGCAGAAACATGACATTGATATTCCTGCAATTGTTTCACCAAGTTTACGGATTAGTTAAAACAGATAACTTTATTGGTAATAATGGTTAGAAAATCGAGAAATAATCAGCATAAGACAATGGGTAAGTTTACTACTAACCCTACACAGTATATTCCATTATATAATCCAACCAAGTATATGCACGAATATGATAGGACGACAGGTTTTATTATAGTCAAGAATATAAGACAAGATAGAGTAATAGGTATGTTCAATTACCTGAGCTTTGCGAATATTTGGGAATCTGAAATGACCCATACTAGGTCATAATATCGATCCACAGCTCAGAGGATATTTGTTAAGCCACATGCATGTACAGTCACGTCAGAAAATATTGCCTGATTTTGTATTATGTAACGATACACTTAACTTACATTATTTATACCCCTTTTTTATTATTTTTTTTTGTTTTCCCATAAATTTACAACTTGCTGAACCCGTTTCACAGTTAAAAAAATAATGTCACATTATACTAAGTTATCTTCTCAAGAGAAGGGAAAAATACTAGTGTATATGGAAAATTTCAATCCTGCACAAATAGCAAGAAAAATGGGACGTGACCTACCACAATATGCAGGTTTATTGACAAATACAAGAAGACTGGAAAAACTGAAAATTTACCACATTCAGGATGGCCATCTGCTTTCAATGATAATGGAAAAAATGCACTTATTAATAAAGTTACTAAAAATCAACGTGAATCTTTATATGAAGTTATTAATAAATTGAAGTTGAATTGTAGTCTAACAACTGCTAATAAACAGACACTATATGATGCTGGAATTCATTCCCATATTGCCGCAAAAAAGCCTTTTATATCAAAAAGGCATGCATCAGCTCGTATTAGTTGGTGTGAAAAATATAAAGAAAAAATAGCTCGTGATTGGGCACAAGTTATTTTCTCTGATGAATCAAGTATTGAAATTGGAAAGCAGTCATGACAAATAAGAGTTTGGAGGCATACAGGGGAAAGGTTTAACACTGAATGTTTGACACCTACCTTTAAAAGTGGTCAAAAATCAGTTATGGTTTGGGGATGTTTTGCGGGAGGGATAAAAGAACCATTGATTTTTTATGATGAAAATAAGGAAGGAAATGAAAAAATTAATTCAAATACTTATGTTAGAATCTTAAATAAACATTTTCATCCATTCATCATACAGTTTGCGAATTAACAGGAAGGGCTGCAACTTTTCAACAAGATAATGCACCCATTCATACCGCGAAAATAGCTAAAGATTGGTTAAAGAAGAATAAAATTGTGATTATTGATTGGCCGGCCAATTCCCCTGATTTAAATCTGATAGAGAACATTTGGAAGCAGTTAAAAGACAATATCCAGAGACCAGAGTCAGGAGGTCTTTCCTAGAACTGTGGGTGAACTTAAAGCCACACTAAGTGAAGAATGGGAAAATTTGGACTGCTCCGTTTTTGAAGATGTTGTTGCCTCAATGCCACAACGAATCAATGCAGTACTAGAAGCAAAGGGAGGGCCAACACATTATTAGCCATTTTAAAAGTTATTTTTTTATGTAAATTTTAATGAGAATTAATAAAGTTTTGCCGATTTTTTAAATCGGGCAATACTTTCCGACGCGACTGTACTCCTGTGCGACAAAATAAACAGGTCACATGGCGGTCTGTACAACATCTACATTTTTCACATATACCCTGCCTCGGAATAACATTTCGCAAAAAACAGTATAAAACCCGAAAAATGTCAGTCACGTTACTCTGTCTCGTCAAAGGAAATACACTCGCAAACGCTTTCCGCCTTTCCCTGTCCATATAGATGGAAATAGTCTTGTTGGCGACCTCAAGGACGCTATAAAGGCGAAAAAAGCACCAGTATTTGATAATTTTGCTGCAGACGAACTCAGGCTATGGAAGGTGGAAATTAGTGGCGATCACCTTGACGATCAGTTGAAGAATCTCAACCTCAATGGCAGTGGCGAGTTGTCAGCAATAAACGAAATTGGAGACTACTGGACCGAGAAACCGCCTAAGAAGAATATTCATGTAATAGTTGAACCACCCGTGTCAACTACTGCTTCGAACGAGGTATTGGAATTAAGGGAGAAACTCGCTTCGTTACAGGCATTACTCAACAAGTCCGTGCATGGTACGTAAGATTCTGCCAAGAAATCTTCAGGTTATGAGACCGTTTCCTCGGGGAACGATGTTCCACGTCAAATAACTTAACCCGGTCGTTGCATTGTAGATTTCGATGTCGTCGTTAGTCCGAAACGGAAGGCAAATAAGTGGACTGCAAATATCGAACATGCGACTCTCGAAGGCCTCAAAGATTATATACGTGAATTGTACAAGCCACCAGCGCTTGAAAATGATGGAGCGGTGCTCAACTTCACTAATGACGGAGGAGATATTCACCTAGGAACGATGATGCTTTCCGGGAGATGTTGCGATCATTAGTATCTAAAAATAGCCTCAAGTTCACCGTGTTAATAGAGACGCCATCGAAGCCCTTCAACGAATGGACCTTCCCGACCCTATAAAAAATTTTTATCTGAATATTTCCATTATTTCTCCGTGTCTTCCGTAAAAATTCCGTGAAAATGATACATTCACGGATATCCGTGTTAGCGAGATGAAAATTTCCATGATTTAAGGCTATAAATTCCATTAAAATGATACATTCACGGAAAAAACATGGAAAGATAAAACACGGATCAGATTTTTTACAGGGCGAAAGTGTGCGAACTCTACGGCCTTAGCGATGACCCGAATCCCAGCATTGACGTGTATCCCGTTTTTTCGTGTGGTAGTGCAGACCTAAGTAGCGAACAGTCCAAAGCTGTAGGTTAGCATCTAATGGCTGAATTAAAACTTCGTCAAGATGTTACTCCCCTCGACAGGGCTTATGAAGCAACGAAGACCATTTATTCTTACTGTTACCTAGCTGCCGGGATTTCGTTTTACAAAGATAATTTCAAACTCATACCGGAAAAACTTGTCGAGGGTCGAAATGGGCAAGGAAATCTTGATTATGCAGTAGAATGTCGTCCGACTGGTAGGATCCTCGGCGTGGTCGAAGTTAAGAAGGAAGACTTCATGAAAGGGTTCGCACAAGCGTCCGTCCATAACCAAGATTCAAACAGATGCTACGGAGGTTTTCCAACTCAAGACATTTAAACAATTCCCGATGATGGAGACATTCCGAAATTTAATTCATGACGTCTTAAGAGGGATCCTTAGTTTTTGATTTATGGCGTTTACCGTAATGACATCTCGAGAATAAAAAGGAGGATGTTATACAAAAAAAAATGGCCCTCAATAATTATTATAGAAACGTTTATTTTTAACTTTTGTATTTTTGCGTGATACCTCACACTATTGTAAAAAAAATAATATTAATTCGCAAATTCGCATGTATGATTTTTAATTTATTTGTACATATATCTTTTAATATTTCTATTTATCATTTTTATCATTATTATTTAATTAATATGATAATAATGCAACAAGTTTTAGATAGTGCCTATCGTTAAGGAATTGCATTGAGTACAATATTAAAATCAATTGCCCAACCACACGCAAGGAGTAAATGATTGTTCCAGGTATATGTAAAATAAACTGGTGGATTTCCGGCTACGTCCCAGTAAATACCATATGGAGGTCGGTTAGGTCGGTTGTTTTGTAGAACTACAGCAGTTGAAGCTTGCGCAGGGTTTGGATTTCGACGAGTGGTTCCGGGTACAGCGATTTTAATGTATTCAATAAAATCCCAATATCGCTTACAATGATTAACTCTATTAAACACGTTTCTCCGATCCGGGTCCTGATCAAAAAATACCTGCAAGAATTCAGATCTGATAAGTCAAAACCATTTACGTTTTCCTTAATAAAGATTTAATACAGTTACCTCTATCCACGCATCAGAAGGTTGATCTCAACGACATCATCTTTTTGCACTTGCTCCAATAATTCATTAATTTTTACGCAGATCTATTGTAGTCGTTACTCGTTAATCATACCCCCTGTTAGTAAACGGTATTAAATATAACTATACCTGAGTAACTTTGGAGGAAAACCTTGTTCCCCGAGCCCCTTCAAATAACATTTCTTCTACACCTTCTGTTGCGACACTCATATTGAAAATGAAAAAAAATTATTCGAAAGTAAAAAGAGAAAACGAAGAGTAAACGGAAAAACAGTATAAGCACTACGATTCCTTTTATAACCATTTTCATTGAAAATGATCTCGAATTTTCCAGAACTTTTTTTGATACTGTGCCACAGTCACGCATAAAGGAGCTGTGTCCCAAATGACCTATGTATTCGGTTAGCTAAGCTAACCACAATTGTCTCTGTATTAATAAAATTTTATTTTTAAGTCATACACAAAACACGCGCACGCACGTTTTAAATGATAAAGAAATAGATTTTATTTTTATAAAGTAATATATGTTAAAGGAACCGGTTGCTATGCAAATAAAAAACAAACGGATAGCGGGTGTTTCAAGGGAGGAATAAAAGCATAAAATATGCCTGCCCGCCCCTAGACGTTTGCAAGTGCAATAATGGCAGTTCCTTCCCGCTACTCTATGCTAACTATTGCTAACTTCGTCATTTATAATACTACTGCTATTACTCGCGAAACTAACTACCCTTTCCCCTCTTTCTCGATCCATGGAATTATTTTATCCATCGTAGTCTTTCTTGGATTTGTTCGATGATGATAGAAGCTGGTTAATGTACCAGAATTAAGTCCGATTTCATCAGACAATATATTATACATTTGTGTAGGAGAGCGATTCCCCCTTTTTCTTCTCTGATCGAAAATGGCAGTGAATTCGACCCAATACATGTCTGTTTCGTCGTTATATTCGGAACGTTTGAACGACTTGTGGAAGAGAATCGATTTGATTCTGCTAAGGCGCAGAATAAACGTCAGAAATCACGTGACATGCAGACTGCGGACTGTGACGTGATATGCTTACCATCATTCCTCGCATTCTTTGGATTTCATTATTTAACGCTAGGACTATTTTTTCAAGTTCATTATTTGTCCCGGGCTGATATTTACGAAAAAATGACAATGCACCTGCTAAAATTGCGTATGTAATAACATTTCCCGAAAAAACATTTTGGATCATGTCCATTGTTAGGACATCTCGGGATAGCATCTCATAGAATGCAACGACGGAAATGAAAAGTACGATTAAAAAAATATCTCGTCCGTTCATGTTGCTTGTGGTTGACAAGGTTAATTTTTACAAGATGATATGCAGATGTACGCAGATTACAGTTATTTTTTCTGGATATTATTGCAAAACAAGAGCGTTGAACTTTGATTATTGCAAGGATGCGTCTTTTATATATTTTACAGCACACCACTACGGCAGGGAATTTGTATTTATCCATCAAACGCTTCATCGTTGTGAAAATGATATCATGCTCACCCCTATTCTGAAAAGAAAAAATGTTATAATGGCAGATCTTGCGCCTATACAGTAGCTACAGACAAAAAGTTAGCGTATCCGCAATATCCCATAATCCAACAAGTTTTATGCAATGAAAATTTTTTTCGTAATTGCTTTATTTAGGCACTTAGCAAGTGAAAGTATATTTGTTTTTTATTAATAATAATACATGCGTCGCGTCAGGAGTAAAGTCTATAAAGTACGCCGTATACTATCAATTCGTCACCTATCTTCTTAGAGTTCTATAACTATAAGTAATCTATTAGGTCTGCCCGCCCTGGCACTCTCTCTACTGCTTAGGACTTACAGATTAATATGCCATACTATACAGCCAATCTATATATGTACAATGCGGATTTTTAGAGATTGCAGTGATTTGCTATCATATCACACCATGGTTTCTACATTGTGAATCAGTTGACACATGATTATTCTTTGCATAAGTCATCTGATTATTCATAAATACAACTCATATAAAGAAAATACTGAAATAGTAGCCTTGTTTAAGACGGATATGACATTGTAATTTCAATCAAAACCAATTCGGTTTTTTTTTTCCTATAAAAAATTTTATCCGTTATTTCTGTAAAAACTCCGTAAAAATGAGCCTTTCACGGATTCATTCACGGAAAATGTAAATAATTTGATAAATTCTGTGATATAAAATTATTAATTCCGGAAATATGAGCCTTTCACGGAAAAAAGATGGAATAAAAAAAAACGGATTGACATTTTTTACAGGGATTTTTAAAAAAATGCAATATTTCATTGCTTTATTTGAGATACTGTTCTATAGATAGGTTCACATCATGTATCATAGGCTATATCCTAAATCATGTAATATATTTTTACACTAAAAAAGATTTATTTTCACATGTTCACTGCTTTACTTTTTTGATGCAATAAAAAACACATTCACTGATAATTATATGTTCTAAATCATTATAACTTTATTTTTTAATGTAATTGTTTAGAATATAATCTTGGGGTAATTCATTTGTAAATTAGTAGATCCGAATATCCGTCCGGATAAACCCGAAAAACTCTAGATTCCCCTTTCATTAAAATTATCTGGTTGGTTAAAGAAAAAGAAAGCGTTCTATTCATCTATTTCATTTTGCGATACAGTTGGTTTGGAATATCTTTGTAGAAACGATAGCTGTATCACTACTTAGCTATATTTGGGAATGATTGTGATGTAATATTTGAAGTTGTACCAATTTACAAGTCTTGGCAAGAATCGATCTTTGGCATGAACAATAACAAAGTTTTTCCATTTAAAGAAGCGAGATTATTATTTTCATACGAACATTTTCATTATAAAATTAATTTAAAGGAAATTTATCTTAGTATTAAAAATGGAATATTCTAGATCTTTTCGACATATTAAATTTCTACCAGCAATCATTATTGTTTTTTTTTGATTTTGCCAATGCATTTAACGTTAAAGACAATGATGGTGATAATAATCCAGTTATCGAGGCGGTCTTTGATTTGATGATTACAGTTCTGATTCCTTTAATTTTATTCACTGATAATGAAAATTTGAAGGAAATTAAACTATTTGAATTAATATCCGAAGGACATCTTAAACTTATTAAAAGGCTTCCAATTATTACAATGAACTCTTTGCTCATTTGGTTCTGTGTCATTAAATATCAAAATACCCAAGATTTTTTCTTTATCGTATATCTCATTACAAAATTATTATATAACTATATTAAAAATATCACAGATTATATAACTTCAATGCTATTACTATTAAAATGGTTCAATTTCATTGTTTCTAGCAAATCTCTATATATTTCTTTTCTTTTGATCTATGTATTAAACAACGCCATAGACTTCATTTTTATTTCTCTAGCCGTAAAGAGAAATTACGTTGACAAGACAAATCTTTCTTTTGCGTTAGTACCTATTATAATCGTTTTTTTTATTGGGGTTTTGATATTTATATGTAACGTTTGCCTGGAGGATAATGCAACGTCGAAAGATAAGGAAGATAAAGAAGCACAGAAAGCGTCAAAAGATGAGGAAACGTCGAATGATGTTGACGCGCTGAATATTGTTGTAGTATCGTACGAGAAAGCACCGAAAGATGAGGAAGCATTGAAAGCTGAGAATGAAGAATTCAAAAGGCAAAGGTGGATAAGTGTATTTTGTGGTAGCCTGATAACCTGTACAATCGTTGGGCCTTCAGTTCTTTGGATAAAGTCTTATATAATACTGGGGTTTATTGCTTATATGATAGAAGAACTTCTCAAAAAATTGAAGAAAAGAAAAGTTGGAGAAGCAAAATAAGAGAAAATAAACCGACAAATAAAAGTTAAAAGTTAAAGTTGACATGTAACATGGATATAATAGGGTATACGCCGAATAAAAATTATTGTAATTATGTGTATATAAATAGTGCCATTTCGCTCATAATATTTTTAACCAAGTATGTACAATAAAATATATTAAATACATGTACTGTATATACAGTCAAAGCTCGTTATTAGTGATGTCGACTTAACTGAAACCAAATGTTTTCTAGTTTTAGCTATTGTTAAAAGTCATAATAAAGTTTAAATGACCTATGTTTAATTAAAGTCAAAATTAACTTTTGTATGTAATACGCAATGGGTCGCGTTTAACTCACCGACAATTACACCGACAAACGTTTCACCGACATATATGAAATTACAGCAAAATTCGAAATATAGTGAACACTTGAAAATTTTTATTGTCGGGATTGTCGGGTACTCGGGTTACTCGGCTAGTCGGGTTATTAGAAAAGAAAATAACACGGGCATACCTTAATTAAATTAATTAAATTAAACATTTATTTGATTTATTTATTTTATTCCAAAAAGAGTAGTTAAATGAGTCAATTACAGATAAGAGTTGAAGGTACTTTCGTACGAAAAAACTAATATATGTGTGAAGATCTCATAAATTCATCCCATATAGGACCTCACTCTTCGGTCGAAACTATTTGAGAAAGTAGGACTACGCTATTTAATCAAATGGGTAACTTTTCAATTAAATTTAACATACATTATATATACTACGCCATCATATATATACTGTATATGTCACGTATTATATGTCTTTTCTAATAACCCGACTAGCCTAGTAACCCGAATACCCGACAATCCCGACAATAAAAAATTTTCAAGTGTCCACTATATTTCGAATTTTGCTGTAAATATGTAAATATAAAAATTTTATAAATATTTTACATATGAAATAGGGAATTTTTTTTTGTTAGTAACACGTATTTCTTTGCTAGATTTAATAAAATACAAAAAACTACTACTATTGATTTCCTTAGGGGAATAGCACATACTTTTCACAATAGTTTATTTTATATATACTGTATTTGTTAGTAACGCGCATTTCTTTTATTATTTTAAAAAAATACAATAGATATAACTATATGTTGTTCTATCTACTAACCCATCTAAGATAGAAGTATCAATACTTATTAGATCTAAACTAAATATCCAAAAAAGGGTTTATAATAAAATATTTCATATTCAATATTTATTTTTTATGTCGGTGAAATTGTCGGTGAAATAGTTGTCGGTGAAATGAACCAGACCCATACGCATTGTCTCGTTTAATCAAAGGAAATCTCAATAAATTTAGATCTAATTAATAATCTTTGGACCATGTTAGCGTAATTACAGATATATAAATAAATTTTGCAGCTTATTTGTTTTAGTTCCTATACCATAGTGGTAACGTTTTCCTAAATTATACAGTATTTATTATCATTAACATAGTTCAGTGAACCGTGGTTTTAAACCGAGTCAACTCAGTTTATAGTTCACATAGTTATTTAATTATTAAAATTATCATTAAATCGGTGAACGCAATATCACATGATTTAAAAAAAATGACTTTAAACATTATATTTAATATACACAACGGAGCGAAATTATTTGGCTCTTGGCTCCACTGGCTAGTTTAATTATCTTCACAACGAATACATCAGTTCTCTAGATCACGCATCCGAACTTCGTGACGCTAAACAACTTGCTAGAGACACCAGACGCGCCGCATGGCATGGCACTACTCTAATCGCCGAATACAAACTAAAAGACACCTCACAAATTACACCAATGAGTTCCACAGCCACATGTCGTGGGAACGCTCTGCTCCTGATTTTATGAAACAGGGAAACCCGAGATGGGGCAGTCGCCACTATTTCTTCAACAAATTTATGTCTACGAGCTTCAGAGAGAAGACACCTCCTGAAGAATTACAACCTTACCTCATTGATGTTCTGGAAAATTACACCTCTGACGATACGCGAGAAATCGAATTTCATCTTCAGAAACGGGATAAGATTAATCCTTCTCTTAACTCCTCCAGTAGACCTAGGGTTAACCTCGACCATCGACCGATTCCTTTGATGACTCCCCGACCGCTGGTCCTAGTAAAAAATAGTCCTTTTCTTTTTTTTTCTCACTTTTGTAATGAGTCTAATTATATAACAAGGCTTAGTTCCTTTCTTACAACTTTTGACGTACTCCCTCTTATACATCTAATTACAACCTTATGTTATGGGTGGGTACCTCATTTTAAAACAACTTAGAATAGTGCGAATCATTCCGCCCTTGACGGGTGGTGGCCTTCGGGTCAAAAGTAAAATACGGATCAAATTTTTTCGTTCTTAGTCGTTTTATCTTTTTTTGCTTCTTCTTTTTCGTTGGTTACTTTCTTTAACGATGCAGGTCATGCCTAGTGTTGTTTATTATAAATAAGAGGCAGGACGACCGCTCTAGTGGAGGTTGGGTTTTTTTCGTTTAGTTGAGTTTTTTTTTCGGTTTTTTAATTGTCTAGCTCACGTTCTCGTTAAGCTCCAGTCATTGTCTAAATTTTTAAAATAAAATAAATAAAATTTAATGTACACAAATGTGCCAAATTTGCACTGAATTGGTGATTTTGTTCAGTTCGAACCATGATTATCCCTAACCACAAAGGATTTCTTATTATAAATTCATTTGTATTACTTTAAATTTCTCATGTCTGAATAATATCTTTATAATAAAAAAAAATGATAACAGAATATTTTCTAATAATAAGTATTAATATTTTGTAGTATTTTTCTAAGATTCGTTCATTATCCTGTGGCTGGTTTCATTACTAATAAGATAACTTTCTTGTTTCTATCTTGCCATAGACTAATCTTAGTTCTTATTGTCTCTTTTACTTGCTCGTTATACTGTTGTTTAGTATATTCTATGCTTCATGTTTCGGATCGTATAGTTTAGCATGCATTTTACCACCAACTTTTTATCTGACTCAATGGTTACTCGTTACCAAGAAAAGGATGTAAAATTGATCGGTTAAATGACACGTGAATCCTATTTAATCCGATGCATATCACGCGACAGTGAAAAATATTTGTCACTAGTTCCGTATTGACGGTATTGTGGACAATTAATTTAGAAGGTATATTGAGTATTCCGCCGATAAGAGGATTGTAATTTTACAAACAAGAAAACAGGGAGAAATATTTCAAGACCATGTCATATGATATGGCGAAAATTATTACATTTCACAAAAATTGATTGAATGAATATTTTGAATCAAGCGACTCTAAGCGACTCTAAAGGCTCAAAGAAGGGAGATAAAAAGAAGAGTAACTTTTAATCCCTCTAAATTATATTTAGAACGAGAATTAGGTAGATAGCCAGTTGCTCACCGAATTTTTGTCTAAATATGGAACCTTCTGATAAAAATATAACAAAAATGCGTGCAATCTGGTATAAATGGGTGAAGACAAAGTGCCTAGTCAATCATGAATATCATTTTTGATAGATACAGTCAATCGCACGTGATAATATAAAAAGGTAATAATTGTCATCATTGTCGCATTAAAATAAGTAAGATCATTCAATAATCTGTATGGTTCGCTTATTTTGTAAGAATTCATAATAATAAATAACTATATTTATTTATTGAGTTATGTGACAAGCTATAATAAATTTAGTAAAGAAGTCCCATGAATTTTGATTTGTTTCTGTTAATGAAAGAAGCTATTTTTGTGTCTTATCATGTAAATCAAATTAGGAAACAATCATTTTATAATGGAATGCTCTATAAAAACCTAAAACCTATTATAAATATCCTCAATAATATACTCAAAATGTAATCCGATAAAACAAATAGTGAAACTCTATATGTAAGATCTTCAACAAATTTATATTAACCATATATGTAGTACACATTTTTAAGTTCGTGTCACAGTTTTAACTTTTTTATATTTAACATTTCAAAAAAATTTTTTTCCTTTTTTTCCTTTTTTCCTTTTTTTTTTGAATTATGACAAAATGCCTCGGCAACTTCCTGCTGATTGTCTTAATGAAATATTTGAATATTTGGAAGAAGATAAAAAAACTTTACAATCATGTCTATTAGTCAATCACCTTTATTGTGAAATTGCTGTTAGAATTTTATGGAGAAATGTATGGAACTTTCAATATAAGGCGCGTGCATCGTCATCAATTATTGGTACATTAATTTCTTGTCTTCCTAAAGAATCAAAAGAACTTTTATATAAAAATGGAATTCTTATTATCGATCAAACCCAAAGATCACCATTTTTTAATTATCCATCATTTTGTAAAGTTCTTTCAATTCATAAGATCGATCATATGATTCAACATAATCTTGAAACACAACAATTAATTAATTTAGGAAGTTTAAATTATATTAAATATTTATTTTCACAAGAAATATTAAAAATGTTTATGAAACAAATTTCATCATTAAAATCTTTGGATTATTATTCTGATGAATCAAAAAATATTCAAAATTTTATGATAATTTATTTTCCTGGAGCTGAAAATTGTTTAACATATCTTACAGAATTAAATTGTAGTTCAGATATTTATGCAGAATTTTTTTATCAAATATCTCAAATATGTCATAATATAAAATCTATAACTATAGATTTTGAAGATATAATTTCTGATGGATTAACGGAATTAATTTCTTTACAAAAACATTTAAAAAATTTAAAATTATTATCTAATAATTATGGTGGAACAGAAAATTTTACTTCTTCATTAACTAAATCTTCTTTAACATTAACAAAATTAGTAATTATGCAATATTATATACCATTATCTTTTATATCTATATTCAAAAATTTACAAGAACTTGTTTTATCTTTTGATTATAGAGATTCTTTTTATGATTTTAATATGTTACAATATATTACTTTTTCACATTTGAGGGTTTTAAAATTTTTATTTGCTATACCAAGAGTTGAAACATTAATTAAATTTTTAGAAATTAATGGTAAAAATTTAACAGAATTTCATGTAGGTGATCATGATAATTCATTAAATCTTGCTGTGGCTAAATTTTGTCCATCCCTTAAAAATTTAATTACTCTATTTGAAGAGAATGAATTAGAGACGTTAAAGATTATCTTAAATAATTGTCAATATTTAGAAAGTATTAGAGTTTGGTGTGGTGAAGGTTATTTAAATGATAAAGAATTTTTGAATGTTTTGGTAAATTATTCACCAAAATATTTTAATAAATTAGGAATATTTTATTATATTTTTAATAAAACATCAATAATACTTTCAAAGGATTTAGAAGAATTTTTTATTAATTGGAAAAATCGTATATCACAAAATTCACTTTCATTAACTATTTATAAGAATTTTGATGGATTTGGTTTGGAATCAAATGTAGAAAATATGGAAATAATTAAAAAGTATATGAAATTGGGTATTATTGATAAATTTATAACTAAAGAATATGATTATTTTGAATATTAAAAAAAAATACATTTTTATTTTCCAAAAAAAATATTATAATATAATATTTATACTTATAACTTGTTTTTAAATATTTTTTATTCTATTGAATAAATAAATAATAAAAGAAAAATTTATAAAATAAAAGTTGTAAATATATGTGTGTAAAATGTTATGATTCTGGACTAATTTTACTAGGATTAAAATTTGTTGTCGATCTAAATTATAAGTGATAATAACTAACGAAGGCTTCCTAAATTTTAAATCCAAATAAGGCATGAAAGAATTTAAGGTCACAAATGTGATACAAAGGTTTAATTGTATTTAATATATTATAATCTGTAATTAGTAATTTCTGACTTAAATAAAAAAAATTATACTAGCTATTAAATTATCTAAGCAAATATTATTTATCATTCAGGCCCTACTATCTTATAATAATAAAGTTCTTAAAGAATTATAAAATACATAAAATTCACTCAAAATTTTGTAATTATGCCAACTTATCTTATAACCAGCTAAAAATTTATATGGAAAATAATATGAAATATAGAAGAACATATTTCATCAAGACAAAAGAAACTAGTTACAAATAGTAAAAAGGCTTTTTCAGCATTAGAAATTATTGCAGAATGTTTAGGTTATCCTGATAGTTTACTAAAGGACGTGAACTCTTTAAATAAGTTTATTGAACAAGAAATTGAAAAATTGGGTTATGAGACATTTTACTACAAAAGTCACTAAAAAGGTTAATAAAAACAGGTAAAACAAAATGCCGCTGTTCAAATTGTGAAAGAATAGGACATACAAAACTAATTGTTCTAGCAAGAAAAGGTCTTTCAGAAAAGCAAATTTAGCATAAACTTATAATTTTTCAAATGATAAAAGCGCAAACAAAAGAAAGTGAGACAGAATTTAATTCTGATTCAGACAGTGAAGTACATTGTTATATGAACTCACGTGATATTATACAGTAAGACAGAAAGTAAAGACTATACTAAGTCACTGGATTGGGGATAAGGATGGTCATTGGTCCTATTCAGTCCTAGACCAGTCAGTCCTAGGCTGAACTGTAATACATAATTAATATCATTCAATATGTCTCGTTAAAAGAATTTGAATAGTGGGTGGTAATAGGACCCCGGATATCTAATATAAAGGTCATAATGGACTTTTGGCCAAAAACACCCTTTTTGCTGAAACTCAAAAAATCGTTTTTTGTAAATATCTCAGCATCCAGTAATTCAATTTTAATGAACTTTTTTTTATTTTGTAGCCCTCATTTAGCTCTACAATTTAAAAAAAGGTTCATCAAAATTGGACCACTGGATGCCGAGATATTTACAAAAAACGATTTTTTGAGCCCCTGAAAAATGGGCCAATCTGCCGAAAGTGTGACTTATGACCTGTTTTGGAGATATCCGGGGTCCTGTGGTAATTACATCTTTTATAATCACTGGATAATGAGATATTGTGTTTTAAAGTTTTTTGTCTCAAAACTTTAAATTTTTGAAACTATAGTTTTGAATAACTGCCGGAATAATTTTTTATTGATCAATGGCATTTTATAAAATCTTGGTCCCATTAATACAAAAATAGCACATCTAGATTATCTAAAAATAAGAGCATTGCAGAAATATATAATTTTTCGTTTAGGCGATTATGCCCTTATTTATTGTGAAGAAGTATATTGATGATATGTGTACTAAAAATAAATGACTGTAATTATACATGCTACACCAGCAATTTTTGCACAGTCATGTGATTGCTTTTAATTCATCACATCGTCACATCCGTCTGAGTTTCACTGTTTATATTTACATAAATTAAATTAATACTAATTGCATTACATATAAATTCAAATATAATTTAAATTATTTTCATAGCAAAAATTATACATTTTTTTTGCTGATAATTTAATAATTTCCAAATATATTCATATAATAAA